GTGTGCATGTGTGTGTGTGTGTGTGTGTGTGTGTGTGTGTGTGTGTGTGTGTGTGTGCGTGTGGGGTGTGCATGTACGTGTGCATTCTAGCACGTGTGCATACATGCGTGTCTACCTGCATGTGTACGTGCGTGCTTGTGTGCGTGCGTGCGTGCGTGAGTACGTTACTCGCACCGTACTAAAGACGCATTTGAATCTCGGGTCGGGTCCCTGAAATAAATCTCCCGCATATTTCTTGTTACCTCCGCGCAACGGAGTTGCAGGGAGGTAATGTAATCGCTCCCGTGTGTGTGTTCGTGTGTGTGCATGTGCGTGTGTGTGTGTAGCCAGCAGCGAGCCAGCTGTTATACACATGTATACATGTTACACGCGTTGGCGTTATCGATTCAGCACCAGCTCGCCTTAGGCCGTCCAGTCAGCAGCAGCTCGCCTTAAGGCGTCCAGCCAGCAGCAGCCAGCAGCGAGCCAGCTGTTATACACATGTATACATGTTACACGCTCGCGGAGGTATGCACTCTTTTTGAGTGCCCTCTGTCTAGTTTATAATAGCATGCACGTGCTCTAAATGAGCACTATTCCAATGAGCAACTTATAATGGTTTAGAAACTGTAAAACATCATTTTAGTAATTATCACTTGGTGCTACCTACACACACACACGCACACGCACACGCGCCCACGCACACAAGGACGCATAAGCAAACACACACATACACGCGCGCACAGTGGCATAGACAGGTCCTCAGTTGTGGGGGGGGGGGGTGATTTCGCTGTTACTTCCATCGCAATGTATATGAAGAGTGTGCGCGAGTAGCGCACACCGCGAGCGCCCTGGCCCAAAGCGCTTAATGGGTGGGGTCCAGGGGCACGCTCTAGGGCCGGCCCCTGGCAGAGTACAGGGGCAGAGCCCTTGCCCGGGGTCCAGGGGGCGGAGCCCCCGAAAGCTCTTAGATTTTAGCAATTTAGAACCTTCAAGATGGCCGTTTTTGAGGGAATTGAAAAAAATTTATATTGTATTAAGTGCAATTTCGTGAATTCTAGGGTAATTTTTTTCTTTGGATCCCAGAGGTTTAATAACACGCAAGTCCCCCCCCCCACACAACCAGTGCGGATCCAGAAGAAAATTCTAGGGGGCGAATCATGCGAGCTCAAGGGCACGAAGCGCCCCGGGGGGGGGGGGTCCCCCCTGGTGCTAAATCTAAAAGCAATCATTTTGGACATCTTATCATAGAATATACAGGATTTTTCCTGACCTCAGGGTGTGTCCCCCCCTTGTGTTAGGGGAAGGGGGGGGGTCCCGGAGTTCTTGTTGAAAGTAACGACACTTCTCGATGCAATTTCCCTGGCACTAATGAGCAGCACTATTAAAATCTTCATCACAAATAACATCACTGTGTTAGTTGAGTATTTTTAGCCTTGGGACATGTCACGCAAAAACTAAAATACTTACTACGCAAATCTGCTATGTACATTGTCTCACTGGGTTACCAGCTGCAGACTTACCTAGGCTAAAATACCCTTTGGCGCCTAAAAATCTAAGGGGTCGACCGCCCCGTGCTACCGACGGCCCTCTTGACAACTACAGCGACCTGAATCATCTCCACCCTGAAATTTTGATTAAACCGTATGTTACTGAGAACGTTAAAACTGGCAAACAAAATATGAAGAAAAACAACCAGGATTGAACCAAAAAGTGCCATATTTTCACCGCTTATACAAAACGGAATATAACTTCCGCGCGAGTATCCAGCACCGTCCCAGCCCCGCCCCCCAACAAAAAAGTGAGATGAACATTGTAATTTCCCATCAATCCCCAGTGAAAATCAATGATCCTCAACTCAATCAAAAGGTCTATTTCAATATTTTGAATAAAGCCAAGGATTAGACTGCAAGATTTTGACAAAAAATAAACGTATATGGGAATGCTGTCCAAAATTTAGCCGTCTGAGTTCAGTAAAATAATGTCGATGCTTGAACGAGTAACAGCGCATGTTACAGTAGATGTATTCACGCTTCGCATTGCGAAATAATACATAGAAGTATGAATAAAGCGATAAACGGATTTGTAGATAAAATCCAGTATTTATATGTCTGTAAAATATAAAAAAAATCCCACTTGTCTGAACCTAAGTAAGGGGGATGACGCCATCCGGGCCCCGGCCGCCCACCTCAATAAGTTATGGAGATATACGCACCTCCCCCCCCCGCTATCTACGCCCCTGTCAGATGAACTCAACATTTGCGACTTTTGATAAGGCATACAAATGATTTCATAAATCAATAATCTCGTTAGCAGTACTCTACAGGCGCGCGCGAATGATTTTGCAAGTGTGGGGTCGGCTACAACTTGTTACGCCTTCGACAGTGGCCAGCAGGTTTCGAGGAGGGTGGTAAAAACGGCGGGGGTAATGCGGTCCTCCCCCCAGAAAATCTGTTGATCCCCCATTTTCCTTCCCTGAAAGTAACACTTCCTGCGTGGAGTTCATCTCCCCACGTCAACTAAGTGGGGGGGGGATGCATCCCCCCCCCCGCTAGCTAACGCCACGCTGCGTCGCGGCCCACACTCGCTTAACGCACAACAGCACAGATGATATAGGATATTAGACATCACCATATATATATTAATTATATATATATATATATATATATATATAAGTATATATATATATATAATATAGACCGACGCACACACGTATACCGATATTCCCAATGAATTCCCACGCAACGTTCACGAACCTAACGAAGAGGAAAAGAAATGCAATCTCAATCAAATCAAATCTTAATCTCACCATTCATGAGTCATGAGATCGAATTCTCCGTAGAGCTGCCCCATAGTGATGGACTTCGGATTAAGTACGAACGTGTGAACTGCCTGGAAGAGGGAGCCACTGGGCGCCATCTTGCCCTTCAGCGCCGTTAGTGCCTTCTGCAGCACTTCGTAACACTGAAACAACAATAATAGTCGGCGTTGCATATACAAGGGAGTCACCGAAATATGGACAGCCGGGACTTGGATCGGAGCGTGGGATGAGCAAATTGTCGGTGACACGTTTGCCTGACATAGTTGGATATCACAACAAGACAGGAGGAATGATGCACGGCTGACAGTGATCTAGAATGTCGTTAATAATGTGCATGGTGGGCATCACAGGCACTTGGAACGGCTCAATAAAACAGTTATAAATAAGTTATTCATGTTGTTTGTGCACGGGGCGGGCGTGCGGTGTACTTGTGTGTTGCAGATGAGTATTTGACCGGCATTTACGGGTAATTATCGGCAAGAATAGGCGACATAGAGTAGAGAAACATTAAGACTTTGGTAGTAAATTTCGTGTTTACATTATTTTTATTGATTGAGACGTTCCAAGTGCCTGTGGTGGGCATATAGGGGAAGAAGACGATGCACGTGATTCAGTAAAAGACGTGCAGTATAGACATAAGAAAGCTGTCATTCTTTTCCACAAATTTCGAGGAAAACTCGAATAGAACAACCCCCTAAATTGTTCTCAGCGCAAACATGCGCACATTAAAAAAACGTGTCAAAAATCTCAAAGTTACCATGCCAGTCATTATTATTGCTAGTTCTTTGTAGAATGTGTGTGTGCACTTATGTGTGCGTATACATGCCTTCATATATCCGTGCGAACATTCCTAGATGATCTCATATAACGCTTGAGGGCGTTTTCTCTTATGCTAACACCTACTGATAGGTTCTTCAATGTTTTGTCACTGGCAGGATACGGGAGAAAAAGACGTTGATGGTTGTGGCACGTCGAGGTGTTAATGCCAATTGTTTCAGATTTATCGAACATCTGATGCAATTACGGGGACACGGTTTTACTGCGCTATACTATTCGTTGACGCGACACGCCATTGCATGTGGAAAAGCCTCCTAACGATATTAGACCTATTTCAAAATTTCCATTCTTCACAGAACAGAACATAATGAAACTATTATGGCGAAAGGAGCTTATATAACTGCGCGTTGACCTCTCGGGTGTTCATCTATTCACGACAAATTCCTAACATGTTAAACCAGAGGGAAAAGGTAACACATAAACAAGTAACACAAAGAAACGCGAGAGCTCCAGTTACCAATCGCAATGAAGGCCACTGGTATTTTTTAACGACAGTTAATAAAAGGCAGCGTTACTGTTTTGCCAGTGATATCTTGATCGATTGATGCGCTAGGTGACGTTTCGCCGTTATATTGCGGTATGAAGTGTCATGAAACTAGCTCCCGTAGGATCTTTCTGCTAAAATTGATTTTGTTGCTTTATCTGGTTGATTGGGGTTCAAATCTTACGACCCCTCGACCCCCCGCGGAGGGGTTTCTTTCTTGCCCAGGGCCCCCTGACTGACCCCGGGCCTGTTTCTGCTAATAATGGACCTATTATGTTATTATGTGACTCTTTATGGCAATGTGGGCGTTGTAATAACATATAGTAGCGAGCGTGCGTGCAGCTCTCACATAAAGGTCACATAAAGGTCACATAAAAGTTGACAGTTATTAGCTCATTTACTAATCTGACATGTTTGATGCTCGACCAATTAGCAAGAATTATAACGTCAACATTTGTCATAGTTGACCTACTGGACAGCATTGATGATGCTGTAGCCCTATGGATTTCTGATATGTAGGCCCTTTGGTGGCTGAACATTTTTGCTGAAATCGATTCCTTTGGGTAGATTGATGATAACGGCGCGTGTCTTCCTCTGTGCTACGTACGCTCTGATGATATTGATTTTACGTAAAAAAGCACAATTCGAAGATGTTAGCGTTGATTTTAGGCTCTTCAGCTTTCGTAAGCCCAATACACAATGTCGACTATGCCCATTCTGCTGTCTCTCCCACTTATACTGCCGTTCCCACTGCTGCTGCTGCTGCCGCTGTTGTTGTTGTTGTTGTTGTTGTTGTTGTTGTTGTTGTTATTATTATTATTATTGTTACTGCTACTGCTGCTGCTGTTTCGGCCTACTGCTGTTACTACTACTACTACTACTACTACTACTACTACTGCCACCACCGCCACCATCACTACCACCGCCGCCGCAACCGCCGCGGCCACTCATTTACATCATTCGGAAAAATTAAGTATGCCGTAACTTAAAACACAATTCTGCGATTGGTCGTGAGATCTAGCATTAATATACCACACTAGACTAACTCCGTAATTCGTTGCTACTACTGCTGCTGCTACTACTACAACTACTACTACTGCTGCCGATGCCGCTACCACTACCGCTACCGCTCAAGGGGTCGTTGTCGTATCAGGTACTACAGATATGTACCCGAGGTACATATATGTATACACAAAGTGTAGCAGACTTGTACTACAGAAGTGTACCCTAACCCTAACACTAACCCTAAATCTAAACATACCTCATATAACAAGTGCCGCATAGCGACAGCGCTAATCTAACGTCTACTGCGGTGACTCTGTGGTGGAGTGGAGGCATTCTAGTACGCCCTGTTAGTCCCAAATGTGTGCACATACACGCCGAAACAGTGGAATGCACGGGGATGGTATCAGG